AGTTTCCTCCACCGTTTGAAGGAGGGGGACTGGTACAAGAACGAAAGCGGCGACTGCTCCCCCCGTTACATGAGCGGCTGCAAGGAGACCAGTCGGACCACTGTGAGTAGCCACCGTGGACTGAAAAGAAAATCAAAGGACCCTCTGTTCAGAGCAATTTACTATCGAGCATCGAAAGTTACCCCAGATTGCTTTAGTTATATTTTCTTTGCTTGGTTATTGGTTCAGAAATCTCACGCCCCTTTGTCAAGAAGTTAGATCACAAACTTAAACCAATCCCGACTCGGCTACGCGCGTATTCCCGCGATTGAGACAGTTTGCGAGATTCATATGAGAGTTCCCATTCACTGCTCATAATATTATCCTTTCATCTGATTGGCCACTAATGTAGCTTTGATTTTCGTTTTACGCTCCCTGCTCAAAACGCACTGTAAGACAGAATGCAAAGGTGAGTCTTTGCACAGGAACTAGAGAAGAGGAAGTAGCCCTTATCTTATTTGCTTTACTTGGCATAGCCTATAGTGTCTAAAGGTATAACAAACCCCTACTCCCCCCAGACAAGATATTTCTCCATCTCAGGAAACTTCAGATAAACTGAAGAAAGGACCTTAAAATTTTTACCAAATGAAACCTTTGCTTGATTGTTTCTTTTCTTGCTGCGGTCCTAAGTTCATTACTATATGATAATTTTACCTGGGCAGCTTTGTGTGTTGCATCCTCTTCGCTCGGTAGCGTTTCCCAATTTGTTGCAGTTTCGTCCTCCGAGTGCTGGCCGAGGATGGGTGCATGAACGATTGCGAGCCTGAGTTCCCCCGTCACATGACCTACTGCAAACACTCCAGCTGCTCCACGGCGAGTAACCTCCATGAACTATAAAGTTGAGACGTTTAAAATAATACGGAATATTTTACTTAGTATCTCATGTTCACTCAAAAGCCTAGAGTACGAGGCCACATCTACCTCTCTTCCAATAAACTTCAGTTTTGTATTTGCAGACGATACTAATATCCATTAAGCTGGCAAGGACCTCAAATCTTTAGAACAGACGATCACTGCTGAAACTGAACGATTTACACTGGCTAACTACAAATAACTGAATTTGATTACAAAAGTAAAAAAACAGAAAGAAAAGCCATGATCCTACACGAATAAGTATATTTGATAGTGTAAGAAATAGAAGAGTCACTTTAGAATATAATAGTGACATACAGGTGTTTTTATGAGTGAGAATCTTTCTTGGAAAAACAACATTGACTGATTTATTACTAAAATAAGTAAGATCATGGGAATAATTTCCAAGCTGAGATACTTTATTCCTTCATCTGTACTCAGAAATATTTATAAATCCCTAATTTTATTTTCTATAACCTATGGACTAGTTACTCGGAGTAATGCGTCTAAAAAACTTTCGAAACCGGCACATTTGCTGTTCTCCGGCCAAAAGCGAGTAAAACTTCTCATCTGCCTTATTAATCGAAAAGAACATGCAACCCCCTTATTTGAAAATGTAAAAACTCTACCTATGCTAAATTCAAACCCAGCGAAATTGAAACAAATTGAACCAGTTCTACAATATATTTCGTACTATCACCATCAATATCACGATCAGCTTGACAGCTTGACAGTAGTTCTCTCGTGGCAGAATAAATCATTGGAGGGAACATAATCCCAAACGATTTCAGTGTCATTCTACCATTTTCATGCTTTTTTTTTCTGTTCTTTAACTCATTTGACTTTCTTGTCGAAAGTCTACCTGGACACTTTTGTGTGTTACAAGTTTGGGATTCATAATTTGGTCCCAGTCTCTTGCAGTCTCGTCCTCCGTGTGCTGC